AATGTGCCCTGACCAGGAATCGAATCGTGACCTCCTGGTTCATGGGCTCACGCTCAACCTCTGAGCCACACAGGTCGGGCAGGAGTGACCTCATTTTAACTGAGTAAACACTGGCTCAATCTGAAGTGTGGTTTCAGTGAAGTAGGGTTGACAAATGGATTGAATGTTAAATATTAATTTTGTAGATAGAAGCTTTGGAGAAAATGAATGAAGATCACGTTCAGAAGAATGGAAGGAAAGCTGCTTCATTTTTGAAAGACGAAGAAGGTCCTCCAGTCCCACGCGATGCATAGCACCAATACCCGCGGCTCTCACTGGCGACCCAGCGGCGACTGCCAGCTGCCAATGCCAAATGAAGTTACGGGCAACTTGAGATACCAACACGAGGAGTGTACAATGGTGCTTCTGTGCTTTTCCCCTGGTAGCCCTAATGCCAGACGTGTGGAATTTTTAGCTCGGCATTGAGAGAATAAAATGTCACTACCTCTCATCTTATGAACAGGATAATATAATTCTTTAACAGCTACAGGTTATCTAGTTGAAATCGACTGGATTTTACAGGATTCGTGGTGTAAAATGTTTTGATGAGAATTTTTTAAAACGTGGGTAACGTTTTCAGATATGGGAGGAAAGGCCAGATGTTTACAAGGGAGGCCTTTATTGCCACCTACTTGCTCTGATACATCCCTGCTTTGAGTCTCATCTTTCCTTGAATATTTTATTGGCCTGACATTAGTCCTTCTCAGTTCTTTTTCCAGATTGTGACCATGATTCTAAAGGAAAATATCTTCTTTTAGTAGGTGTTTTAAATGGAAATCTGGTTTCAAAATGGCTGATGGAAATAGACATAAGCAAAATACTTTTTATTGGTACATCGTGAATATGAATTGAGTTCTTTTTCACGTTCATATCCAAGAAAAGGATTGTAGGTTTCTGAAAGACAAATATATAAGAACTTAACCACCCAAATTTTTAAAAATTAACTTTCAGCATTTCTACATTTGGGTGAAAGGGATAGAGTGTGACGCATGGTGCAGCTGCTCTGCATTTATAAGGAAAATGTAAGCTATCTGGGAAGGTGGGATGCTAAAACTTAACCCTGTTTGTCAAAGTTCAGTTTCCATATCACTGAAACTCTGTACTTACTGATTCCTTTTGAGAGAAATATAGTAAGTCAAATGATGAACACTAAGTTTGAAACAAGTTGGGTACCAAGTTAACCTACTGATTGAACTCTCTGACCTCACTTTTAATAATTTTTAGACTGGCCGGATGCCACTTCTTAAATAAAGCACGCACTGCACTGGCTTTGTTAGACTGAAGTTCATTAACTACAATGTAATCATTCCTCCTATTGCTGATTTCAGGTTGGAACCAGTAGAGACCCTGGTCACTGAAAGTAAAAGTCTAAACATTACTTACACTTGAAAGTTTCTCTTTTGACATTACTTTAAAATGCCAAATATGTTCTTTCTCGAAAAATACTTATTTTTGTTTCTGTTGTATACCTTTTAAGAGAAGTGTGATTTGGGGTCAATACTTATTACATTTCTTAAGTGTTTACTACTATGAAACAGATTTCAATGACTGGTGATTATTGGTTTTACAGAAATTTCAAAGACCTATTTTTAAAAAACCACTAACCACTTAAAATTTGTTTTGTTTTCTGACATACTCTGTTTGACTAAGAGCAGCAAACCGTTGCTGTATAGCATTCTTGGAGTGTGCTGTGAACATGCTTTTTAAGAAATTAAAAATGAAGAAATCATTTTAGAATTGGTTCTTTGTGTGGTTTCTTCCTGTTCCTTATATTAACTTAGGTCCTGTCACCAAGTTATCCATTTTGCATAAAAATAAAGCAGTACTATTTTAAGCAGTTTTTTCCCCTCAAACTTCTCATATTTAGATTTCACTTTTAAATTACTTCACATTACAGATAGGTTTTACCTTTCCTGTAGCTCAGACAGTAAATTTTCCACACAGAGGAAAAAGAAAGTGGAAACTGTTTGCTAAATAAAGAATAAATACAAACGGGGGAAAAAACCTAAAATATGGAAATAATATTTTGCCTCACTTTAATGAAAGTGAATAATAAAATAAGTTATCAAAACAAGGATGACTGTAGGGAATTTTTATCTCAAGATGAAAATTGCCAGTTTCCTCTTTATAAAAAGTCATTTTTTTATGCTTACAAAACTACGACATGCATAGAAATGCTACGTCCTTTGTATTCTAAAAACCAGTTTACAGCGTGGCGTACCTCCCTGCCATCCCCCCTCTGCATGTGATTCTCTTTGTTTTTAATCTTTGAAGGAAAGCAGGGTGGTGGGAGTGAGGCAGCTGACTGAAATGTTGGTCCTGGTAGACCCTCTCCTCCAAGGAAGATGGAGATGGAGGCTGAGACCCCTTTTTGCTGTCCATTTGGGCTCTGGGCATCAGAAGAGATTGTTGTCTGCGCCTTTTAAAATTCGGAGCTGTTCGTTTCCCAGCACTTTAGAAATTGGGTGGGAAAAGCTCATCTGATTTTATTTTCAAACTTCAAAATGTATGTTTGAAGAGACATTTTTTAATTGGCATTTTAAAGGGATTTCATAAAATTTACAGAATGATTTGTTTGGTAAGTTTATTTTATACTTGGAGACATCAATTTATTTGCAAGCAAGCTTGTTTTTACTCTTGATTTGCTATTTGTCCCCCATTAAAAAATATTACAAGGTTACATTTGGGAAAGCATTATTTTTGCTATTCTGGGCTTTCCAGCTTTCTCTCAAACATAGCTTTTTGAGGGGTTAAGATAAATACAGTAGAAAGATAAAGTAGCAGATGGAGGGGGAAGGTGGGGTGTTCATTACAGAATAACAGAGAGCTACTACTTAGAGCTCCATAAACTTTAAAAAATCACTCTACTATCTTTTGGGACAGAAAGAACACAATTAGAATACTTGTCACTATAAGAATAGTTGGTCCAACCAACAGAGCCACCCAGCCAGGGCAAGCCTCAGACATACTGGTATTTAACAAGGGCCTTTGCCTGCTTGGAATGCTCTTCCACTAGCTTATCCACAAGTCTCCATGCTTCAGGTGTCTGTGCAAATTTCATCTCAGTGAGTCCATTAGTTACCTAGTGCTGCATAACAAATTACCTCGAAACTTTGTGATTTAAAACAACAAACATTATCTCACACAGCTGCTGAGAGTCAGAATCTGGGAATGACTTGGCAGGGTGGTTTCGGCTCAAGGTCTCAAGGTTTCAATCAAGTGTCAACGAGACCCTGGCTGGTGTGGTTCAGTTGGCTGAGCGCTGTCCTGTGCACCAAAAGGTCGCCGGTTTGATTCCAGTCAGGGTACATGCCCAGGTTTCGGGTTTGACCTCCAGTAGTGGGTGTGCAGGAGGCAGCTGATCGATGCTTCTCTCTCCTGGATGTTTCTCTCTCTCCCTCTTCCCTCTCCCTCTAAAATCAATAAAAACATGTTTAAAATGAAGATGTCAGTTGAGAATCGTGTGAAGGAAGGACTGATTGGGAGCAGAGGACCCCCTTCCAAGACAGTTCCCTCATGCTGTTGGCAGAGGCCGCAGTTGCCCACTGGCCGGTGGGAAGCTTCAGCCCTTGGAGACAGCGGCCTTTCCAAAGCCCTCCTGAGTGTCCTCGACGCTTTCCCCAAAGCACTGATCCAAGGAGGAGCAAGGCAGGAGCCGCAGGGCCTTTTATAGCCTCGCCTCAGAGACACGCTGTCCTTTGTGCAATGCTCACTACACAGGGCAGCCCGCCAGCTGGGAGGGCCTGCAGTCAGGAGTGCCTGGAGGTGGCGGTCTAGGGCCCTCTGGGAGGTGGGCTACCACAGTATTTGAGCCTTTACGAGTATCACCGTCCCCTGGTTTATTTTTTCCGTAGAACTTATTTCTACCTGACATGTATTACTCATTTTATTTCTACTCACTAAACATTACTTGGTGAGAGTAGGATTGTTGCTGGCTTTATTCATTGCTGTATTCCCACACACTTGAGTAGAAGCTCAAATATATTTTGAATGCCTGAATGCATAACCATGTGGTTCAAAGGTTAAAATTGGGAGCATTAGGTTGGAAATGACATAGACTCTGATCCAATTAGGAAAAGTCTTTACTAGCTGTGCTAGAAGGGGACACTATCTCTTTATCATCGGAGTCACGGATACAAGGGCTGGATGACCTCATGGTCGGTTTGTTACAGAGGAGCACGAGATGGCTACTTGGATTTGTTAATATTTATGGGCCTTTCTATGTCTTCTATTACCCTATCTTTCAAAACACTTTTTTTCTGCTTATGAATGCACATGTATTTTTAAAATTCAAATAATGCCAAAGGTGGAAAAAAGAAAACAAATCACTCACAGTACAAGATAACCACCATCTACATTATACCGAATGCTTTTTACATACATGTATACATAAATGTGTAAGGACACATGCAGTCACACAAAATACTCATGAAATGAAAAGGCTGCAAAATCAGGACACAGAGTCAAGATTTCCCAGTAAATACGGTTAACTTTTAAAAAACAGTTCCTTTTATAAAAATTACTCATGCTTGCTTTAAAACCAAAAGGAATTTAGAAAGTTCAAAGAAGAATGCAAAAGTTATGTGAAAACTTGCCAAGCCATGAGAACCACTCTACAAATGTTGGTACATATCCTTCCAGACATATAGTCTGAAAGAGAATTAAAACACAAAGCAAAGAAAACCAGAAAAGCCTCTGTGATTTTATTAGGTTTCACAAACTGCCAGAAGCACCTTTTAAATCTCAGGAGTTACACTTCTCAACAAAGAACACATAAGAAAACAAACCAGTTATGAATGTATGAATGGCAGGCACCTTACCATCCAGGGGTGAGCTGACTCGGGGCTGCACTTCGCTCTCCCCTGCCCATTGGGAGCTCACCTGCTCCGAGGCTGGAGTGCCCGCTGGCCCAGCCGCCCTGACTAGCTCGCAATGCTTTCTGTGTGCCCTTCAGCTCTTACCTGTCCCCTTCTGCCGGGCCAGCCTCGGCCTCACTGGGAGCAGCCGTCAGGGAGCAGAGTGGCAGCCGATGTCAGGTGCTCCGCTGGGCTTCCTGCTCTCGCCGCCCGGGCTTCTCAGGCTCTGCTGCCCGGTGGCTGTGCAGCACCTCCAGGAAGGCACAGGCCTCCTGCTTCCACAAAACAATGAAAACAAAGACCCTAATTAGTTTGTTGAATTGTTGTTCCGTGTTTTACTGTTTCCAGAAGAACCAAAAACTGCTGAGGAACCATGAGGAAACCTTTTACGTTAATATTCTAAGAAATCCTATCAGCCAACACCATGCACGTGTTCCCGTGTGGACCAGGGCCGTGTGCTGGCTCTGCCGCCCCTCTGCTCAGCAGGGCCAATTACACACGTACCCTGCGCGGCCTCCGGGGAGCGCCCACAGTTCAGCTGGTGACTCTGCAAGTGGCCCACGTGGTCCCAGCAGCTGGGCGTGCAGGAGACGGGAAGAGCAAGCTGTGCCCAGGCCCTGCAGTTTTCTGTTACATAAACATCACCCACAACTGAGACCATCCCTCCCGTAATGTAACATTAATAAACACAACGAACACATAGGCATTATTTTACCAAATCACAACTTAAATTCAGTTTAATTCTAGGGCACATCTTGGTCCCAGTATTTTATTTTTAAAACTGATGTTAAGGGCATTTCAATTTATATTATTAGCTCTGACCATAACAGAGACTGTTGTATGCAAAGCTTTTAAGTCACAATAAAATAGTTATGAAAAGGCACTAACTTGTCTTTTCCCGTTAGCTTTAAAGTGCATCATATTCCTCTAAAATATTTCCCGTGGTATACGTGTACTGCTTCCTTGTTTACTTTCCCTAATGTCTGTGCTGTACCTGTTGTCCTACGTCCTTCCCTGAAGGGAACCGCCTTCTTATTCAACTTTCCAAACCCTGACTGGCCTCGCCCGGACTCCAGGGGCCCCCCAGCTCTACGTCATAGTCCGGGCTCCGTGGGACCCGAGTGCTGCTGGATGCACTTTCTAGAGCAGCGGTTCTCAACCTTCCTGATGCCGCGACCCTTTAATACAGTTCCTCATGTTGTGGTGACCCCCAACCATCACATTATTTCCGTTGCTACTTCATCACTGTAATGTTGCTGCTGTTATGAATCATCATGTAAATATCTGATATGCAGGATGTATTTTCATTGTTACAAATTGAACATAATGAAAGCATAGTGATTAATCACAAAAACAATATGTAATTATATATGTGTTTTCCGATGGTCTTGGCGACCCCTGTGAAAGGGTCGTTCGACCCCCAAAGGGGTCGCGACCCACAGGTTGAGAACCGCTGCTCCAGAGGCACATCCGTGACCTCCGGGGATGCCAAGCAGGGGCTTTGGGACTGTGTCGGTGAGGCAACCGCAGGGGGCAGCTCACCCCCCGGGCTGAGGGGGTCCCGGGTGTACGGACCGGGCACTGCCATCCCGTGGACCCAGGGCCGCCCGCGGCCGGCTCTGGGAGGCCCAGGCCAGCAGGGGCCGCAGGCGGTCCGGGTTCAGCCTCCCGTCCAAAAGCAGCTCTGGCGGTGCTCGCGCCTCGTCAGCACCTCCCCTGACAAACCACCGTTAAATATGGGCCAAGCCGCCGGTGCGGGAGCCCGCCGTGTCACCATTTTACCCTTTTCCCTTTATTTAATTCTAATTTTAATAGGTAGTAATAGTCTAAAGAGTCTGCCTCTCCGTCGGATGTTCGATCCCTTGCACCACTTTTGGTCTGAGTTTTGCTCCATCAATAACTCGCCGCCTGTCCCGGTGCCGCGCCTCCTCCAGTTCCTCCGAGGAAACGGGAACCGCACCCCCGCCGCCCGGAGCCGGTCTGTCGGAGGCGCTTCCGGTCCGGCGACCGCAGGGCTCGCTCCGCCCAGGGGCGCGGGGGCGTCGGGGACGCTCCCGACAAAGGCCGCGGAGCCTCGCCGCGCCGCCGCCGCCTTCAGCTGAGGGCCCTCGGCGACCGGAGGTGGCGGCCCCCGGAGGCATCCTCCTCCTCACCGTCTCCCGCCCGCCTGGTCGGCACCCGCGGCCGCAAGTGACCCGCTTACATCTCCTCCTGGGATGGGATGGATAAAACGGGGCGAAAACCGCCCTTGTCCGGGACAGACGTTGAGATTCTGCTTCCAGGCAACTGCCAACAGTTTGGCTCAAATAAACTCACAAAAATCCTATGCAGGTTCCAATGTTTTCTCAGGGTAACAGGTGCTGAGCACAGGGCTGTCTCTCCTCAACGTCGAGGTGGCTCAGGAGGCCTCGGCGCAGGGACCCAGGGCAGCCCCGTCCCAGCCTGCCCTGCGCGAACCTTCCGGAAGGGGGCGAGCCAGGCCCCGCCCAGGCTGGGGAAAGCCTGGCTAGGATTGGCGGGGCCGCCACGCTCTGCAAGGCCCGGGCTTCCGGTCCCGCGGCCCCGCCTCCATTGCCGCCCCGGAGCCGCCCTGGGACCCCGCCCCCGCGGAAAGGGGAGGAGCCTCTTGCGCGAAGGGCTCCACTGGGGTCGGGCGGCCGTCGCCGGCTTAAACGCCAGGGCCGGAGGGTCACGTGGGCCGGGTTTGGGGGCGTGGCAACCCGGAAAGCGGCCCTCCCCGATCCGCCGCCACCCGCAGCCCGGCCGGAACCCCGGTGCCCTTCCTGGGTGCCATTTCACCTGCCCCGCGCTGGCTTGCCACCCCCCGCGGCCCCCGCCCCCCGGCGCCGGCCCGCCATGGGCGAAGGAGAACTACTACCTGGAAG